TCTAATCTCTAGTGTGTGTCAGGGTTGTGTCCTTTCACCTTACTTATTCCATCTGTATGCTGATCAAATAATCCAAGAAGCTGGACTACATGGAGAAAAGGGCATCAGGATTGGAGGAAGACTCGTCAACAATCTGTGATATGCAGATGACACAACCTTCCTTGCTGACGGTGACAAGGACTTGAAGCACTTAACTGATGAAGATCAAAGACTACAGCCTTCAGTATGGATTACATCTCAACGTAAAGAAAACAAAAATTCTCACAATTGGACCAGTAAGTGACATCATGATAAATGGAGAAAAGACTGATGTCAAGGATTTCATTTGACTTGAAGCCACAAGGAATGCCCATGGAAGCAGCAGTAAAGAAGACAGACAACTCATCGCACTGGGCAAATCTGCTACAAAAGACCTCTTTAAAAGAGCAAAGACGTCACTCTGAAGACTAAGCTGAGCCTGACCTAAGGCATGTATTTTTAATCACTATATAACACATACGAAAGCTGGACAATGAATAAGGAAGACCAAGGAAGAACTGATGAATCTGAATTATGGTGTTGGTGAAGAATACTGAACATACCATGGACTGCCAAGGAAATCTGTCTTGGATGATGAAGTACAATCAGAATGCTCCTTAGAAGTGGGAATGGCCAGACCTCATCTCCACTACTAGAGTCATGGTGTCAGAGGGATCAGTCCCTGGAGAAGAACATCATGTTTGTTGAAGTAGAGGATCAGCAAAAAAGAGGCAGAGCCTCAATGAGATGGACTGACACAGAGGCTGCAACGATGGGCTCAAGAACAGGACCAAGCAGTGCTTTGCTCTGTTGTACGCAGGGTCACTGAGTCAGAACCAACTTGACTGTACCAAACAACAGTCAAATTCCTGTTCTTCAAGAACTACAGGCCCAAGACTTGCTCGGGACCATAGCTGCAGGGGACATCAAGCTCAATTGGCATAACATACTACACAAAAACATTGTTCCACATCCTACTTTGGCAAGTAGCAACTGGGATCTTGAAAGCTTGCAAGCGGCCATCTAGATGCAATGATGGGTCTCTCCTCATCCAGAGCAAAGAAGAATGAAGAAAACCAAAGATGCATGGAAACAATTAGTCCTAGCAACTGGTACACCATGCGATCCTCAGCCTATATAACTAAGAGACCAGAAGAGCTAGACGGTACCTGGCTACCACTGTCAACCACTCAGAAGGGGTTCTATGTAGGAGATCCTGGATAGAGTGGGAGAACAATGTGGAACAAAACTCAAAATTATTAAAGAAAAAAAAAGGGGGTGGGGACCAGGTTTGCTTGTCTGATAGAGCTTGGTGGAACCACTGAGACTATGGCCCCTAGCTGCTCTTCACGTCTCGAATTGAACCCACACCTGTGGCTTGCAGCCAAACAAAAGACAGGCATAGGAGGTGAACATTTACATTAAGCAGATACACTCCTTGGAGAGATCAATCATGAGAGAATAGAAGGGCTGTGTATGCACAAGGAGACAGCTTTGGGGACAGGAGTGCATGGGAGAGAAGGACACAGGGAAGAGGTTAACTATGGGAGGAAGCAGGAAGGGAACTGTTACATTGTGGGAAATTGTAGTCAATGTCATGAGACAAAGCGCACATGAGCTGCTGTATGGAAAGTGAATTTGCTCTGTAAACTTTCACCCAAACCACAATAAATTTTTTTTTTTTAAAAAAAGGACTATAGGCCCAGGACGTATCTACCACCATGGAAGACTCACCTCTGCTTCTCTCTTCTTCGCCCGGGCTTTCTCTACTTCATCCATCACTCTCTGGGATTCTTCCACATTCCCTTCAGCTCCTAGCTGTTCCACCTTAGCCAGCAGTTTACCAATCTCTTCATTTAACTCGTGAACACGCTCTGCCTACAGGAAAACATGGAAGAAGGTCATGAATAGAAAATGACGACAATCAAACTTTAGAAATGCTGGATAAAGCGACCTGAGGAGAATGAGCATAAACGGCACTGCCTGAACAGATCCCAGATGGACCAAGGGAGACAGCTGATGGGCTGACTTCATCTGCCTGGGCTCAGCCATCCCACCGATCCCAAAAGAAATGCTCCTCTTTTCAGCCTCGCCTTGGCAGGATAGTCAATCTAAGATATTATTCTAAGATATTAATGTATTATCAGAATCCTGTTTACCCAAGTGTATTTTTCTTTAACCATCTATCATTGAATGATTCCATTAACACCCCAACTATTGACCCTTCCCTCTATCCATGCCTTTGCCATTTAACTTAGTGCCATTCTCCTGTCTCTGAACCTGGCCATGTCACGTGCTTTGTTTAACAGGATGATAGCAAACATGGCACAAGGGAACACTTGAAAGGCACGCCCCATGACTGAACCCCCACGTTACCATAAGAACACCACACCAGGCTAGTCTTCTGGGCATGGCCCAGCAGCTCCCAGCTGACCCATAAAACAAGTGAGTCAGCCCAGCTGATACATGAACAACTGTGGTCAACTTCAGCCTGAATCGCCATCTCGTAGACTCACAGGCTGAATCAGTATTTAGTGGTCTAAGCCTCTGGGTTTTGAGGTAGCTAGTTTACACAGCATTTTTGTAATGATGCATAACCAGTGCAGCATCGCTCCCCACCCACACCCACAGATCTCTTTTAACTGTGAGATACCGGACGCCCATCTTTATAGACTCCAATTTCAGACATCTTTTCAGAAAAGGCCAGCTAAAAAGAGCATTTTTCTCATACAAGGGATCCCTCTGCACATACATATATGACTGCCATATTTCAATACTGCCATCAGGGTTCTGCTTAGGTAACTCTTGGTCTTACATTCTATATTTTCATGAATTGTAGCTATGGAAAGTCAACCACCAAATCAACCAAATACAAGATGTGGACTTTGTGTGGATCCTGATTAGAACACATCAATGCTACACGGAGGTGGGCTGAGGGAGCCTGTTCTGGATGCTAGATCATGCTAAATAACTACTGTTAGCTTTCTAGATGTGTCACTGTGATTATGTTTCAGAGGTGAAATGCTGTGACACTGAGAATCTGATTTTAAAATATGCAAACAGAAGCAGAAACTGATGACGTCTGAAACTCAGTGATGGAGCCATTGGCATTCCTTGTGCTTCTCTATTTTTTGTGGAAGTTCATAATAAAGCATCTTTAAAAAGTAGTGAGTTGAGGAGAACATTTGAAACTCAACATTAAAAAGCAACTGATTCAATGATATAATCTGGGAATCTGTAATTTCAAAATAAGAAGTTAAAGAAAAAAAAGCCATGAGTCAAACCCCGTTCTGTATTAATGAAACGACTGAAACTCTTACCTTTGCTGCTACTTCAGCACTAATCTCTTCTTGTGTTTCTGCTAATCTTTTCTTAGCCACTTCTGTTCTTCTATCACAATCTGCAATAAATGACTGCAGATGATCCATGGCCTGAAAAGATTAATGAAAGACAATTAAAAATGGTCTTATTCAGAAGTATCTTTTAATCATAAATTACATTTTATTTTTTAAAATGCTACCGTGGAAGTAAAAAAGTAACAAAAAAAAGTGTTCAATTATGAATCCAAAATACATCACCTGTCAAACTGGGAAAGAATAATCATCAATTCTAATTCCCAGGAATGATCAGGCCATAAGGAAAACTGTCTCTTTTATACCCTGCTAAAGAAACACAAACTGGTGTGGCCCTTAGAGAAGAAAGACAATGTAGATGTCACTGAATTGTAAAATGTAGAAAACTGTTGAACTGGTGTTATGTTCTGCTGCGTAAATTTTCAACAACAAAAAAATACATAAATAAAGGCAATGTGGTAAATGGTATCAAAAGTAATTCTACTTCTAGAAATTTATCTTAAGAAAGTAATCAGATACATGAAGAGGTTAATATTTACAAAGATGTTCTTCACAGTGTTACTATTTATAATAGTGAAAAGCTGTAGATGCTCTAAACATCCTTCCAACACTAACAAATTTTACTTGTAGTCATTCAAAGGGAGAACTTGTGGCATAGTGCCTAAGGCATCTGATTGCTAACCAGAAGGCTGGTGGTTCAAACCCACCAGACACTCCTTGGAAGAAAGGTTGGGCAATCTACTTCCGTAGTGATACCATATCGGGAACCCAAGGAAGGGTAGTTATAAGTTGGATCCGATTTGATGGAAGTAAGTTTGGTTTGGGTTTTTGGTGAGTCATTGAAAAAGTTTTTAGTGGAACCTTAGTAAAACCAAACCAAACCCACTGCCATTGAGTCAATTCCAACTCATAGCGACCCCTATTGGGTTTCTAAGGCTGTAAATCTTTATGAAAGTGAATTGCTTCATCCCCCTCCCATGGAGCACCTGGTGGGTTTGAACCACTAACCTTCTGGTTAGCTGCCAAATGCCTTACCCACTACACCCCCAGAACTCT